CACCATATTGTCCAGGCTCATCTCCAACTCCTGACCTCAGGTGATCTGCCCACCTCAGCCTCCCAAGGTGCTAGGGTTACAGGCATGAGCCACCGCGCCCGGCCAAGATACTATTTTTAATTTTTCAATTGCTGCCGGAAAAAAATTCTTTCCCAATAAGTCTCATCCAGTTTGAACTGTTCTGTCATGATAGCTTTTAAAGTACAAAAATGTTCTTTATGCCAGGCACAGTGGCTGATGCCTATAATCCCAGCATTTGGGGAGGCCTAGGCAGAAGGATTGCTAGAGCTCAGGAGTACAAGACTAGCCTGGACAATATAGTGAGGCCTCATATCTATTAACAAAATTTAAATTAACTGAGCATGGTAACATGCCAGCAGCCCCAGCTACTCAGGAGGCTGAAGTAGAAGAATCACTTGAGCCCAGTGGAAAGGTCCAGTGAGCCAAGATCATGCCACTGAACTCCAGCTTAGGTGACAGAGTCAGACCCTGTGTCTGAAAAAAAAAAAAAAAAACAGTTCTCTAAAGATAATAAGTGATTATTATTTTAAGCCACTAAATTTTGGGATAATGCACTATGCAGAAATATACAACAAATACTGCACATAAGCACATTTCTTATTGATTTGTTAGAGATCTTTGTATTGTCAAAGTTCAGTTTGCCCTTCGATTTGTTTTCTTATGTTTTTAGAATTTTTTTAAAAAAATCTCTTGGCTGAGCATGGTGGTTCACACCCATAATCCCAACACTTTGGGAGGCCAAGGCAGGAGAATTACTTGAGCCCAGGAGTTTGAGACCAGCCTGGGAAACACAGTGAGCCCTCATCTCTACCAAAAAAAAAACAATCAAAAAATTAACCTGGTGTGGTAGTATGCACCTGTAGTCTGAGCTACTCAGGAAGCTGAGGTGGGAGCATTGCTTGAACCCAGGAAGTCAAGACTTCAATGAGCCTAGATGGCACCACTGCACTCCAGCCTAGGCAACAGAGTGGGACCCTGTCTCAAAAATAAAAATAAAAATCTCTGAAGTCAAAAAATGCTTACATTAATTTGAAAGTTCCCTTTGGAAACTTATTATGATACATGAACTGAATTTAAATTTTAGTTAAATAATATGCATACACATTACTCAAACTATCAACACACGAAATCAAAGGAAAGTTGTCCACAGGGCAGAATATGGTTCTATGTTTACAAGTTATGGCCAGCATGTACACACAGATTGCCAATATTTGTGGGCATATAACAAATAAAGGTTCTAAAATAAGGTATATGTGAAAATCAGTACAACCCTTTCCAAGTTTCCCTCACACGCTTAGACCAGAGTTGGCAACCTTTTCCATAATAGCCCAGATAGCACATATTTTAGGCTTTTCAGGCCATAGGATCCCTGTAACAGCTATGTAACTCTTCCCCTGTAACCGCAAGCAACCATAGACAATACGTAAATAGATGAAGGTGGTTGGGTCCAAATGAGGGTTTATTACAAAAACAGGAGGCAGCCCAGATACAGCCTGCAACAATCTCATTTGGCATCTCTGCCCTAGACTCCCAATATTATCAGTGGTTAATAGATCCCAGATTCTCCAGCTCTATCCTGTTTTCGATGTCTATCCTTTTCCACACCATGTGGCAAAACTCATGTCCCCAATCCTCGAGGTTATTTTGAGGGCAACACAGAGAGTTGTAAAAGCAAACCATGCTTTTTAAATTCTGTAAAACCGTGTGAATCACTCTGTCCTGGAAAGCTACTAAGCTTCATTATTTCACAACTATTTCTAGCTAGAAACTGAATACCCATAGCTCCTTCTGCTTTCACAGAAACAGCTGAGAAAATTAGCTTGTTTCATCATTTTGTCTATAACCAGACTTTCATAGGCTATTTGGGTCAGGTAAAGCTTTGTTCTGGCCTTCCCTTGTTTGAGAAAAAAAAAAAAATCCACTAAAAAAGCTTAAACAGAACATACTAGAAACTCCATGGCTCAGTGGTTGGTTGATAATCTTTCTTGAGTTACACACCTCTTTGAAAATCTCATGAAATAATTAACCTTCTGGCCAGAGGTGGTGGCTCACACCTGTAATCCCAGCACTTTGGGAGGGCGAGGCAGGTGGATCACAAGATCAAGAGATCAAGACCATTTTGGCCAACATGGTGAATCCCCATCTCTACTAAAAATACAAAAATTAGCTGGGCATGGTGGGGTGCACCTGCAGTCCCAGCTACTCGGGAAGCTGAGGCAGCAGAATCGCTTGAACCCAGTAAGCGAAGGTTGCAGTGAGCTGAGATTGCACCACTGCACTCCCACCTGGTGACAGAGTGAGACTCTGTCTCAAAGAAAAAAATTAACCTTCGATTAGGAAAAAAAAGCCCATAAGAATTGAGCATAATTTAGAGCCATAATTAGAGCCTATTCATGGACAACTGGATGTCCAAGGACTTCAGGATTTTCCTTATTCTCTCCCATTTTCTCCTTTCTTCCCAGTCCTACCCCTAATTCTGTCTCCATCACCAGTTTCTTCCCACAACACAATGGAAATAACTCAAAGAGACTGGGCTTGAACCTTAGCTTGCTCACTTAGTTTTGGCTTCCCTGTCTTGGGGAAAGAAGAACCCCAAAAAAGTATGAGTAGTGTCGGAGGGGAAAGCAGGCCAAGTTTCTGGATCTTGCCGCCAGAATGAAAACTAAGGCCTGAGTTAGGCCTTAATTGGGCCTAAGATTATCTCTGGGGTTAAGCACTGGGCCAATCTGAGAGCTCCCAACTACCCTTATAGTTTCGTTTAGTTTAAATAGTCACAGTGATGCTGTATCCCACATTTTCTGGGAATAATCACAATTCTAAACATCTGTAGTTTCCATAAATATCCTTATAAAGGCAAGATCATATGTTCTGATGCTTGCTTCAGGAGGAAAAAAACTCATTATAAGTAAAGTCCATCTTGCTAGATATTTCACTCTTCAGTTTTAATTTCTTCAGGACTAGGAAACAGATTATTTTTCTATTATCTCTTGCTTATATCCTTCCTTTTTTTTTTTTTTTTTTTTTTTTTGAAAGAGCCTTGCTCTGTCACCCAGGGTGGAGTGCAGTGGCATGATCATGGCTCACGGCAGCCTTGATCTCCCAGGCTCAAGTGATCCTCCCACCTCAGTCTCCCAAGTAACTAAGACCATAAGTGTGTACCACCACACCTGGCTAATTTTTTTCTTTTAAAGAGATGGAGTCTCCCTATGTTGCCAGGCTGGTGTTTCTTAATTTTTCAAATCTTTGGTAGAGAAAGAACCAAGGGAAGAAAGTGAGAGAGTCATTCATTTATTTAATCCACAAGTATTGAGCACCTAAATGTGCCACGTACTGTTACAGATGTCAAAAGTCTCCACCCTGAAGGAGCTTTCGTTCTGATGGGAAGAGAAAGACAGCTGGGCGTGGTGGCTCACTCCTATAATCCCAGCACTTTGGGAGCCCGAGGCGGGTGGATCACTTGAAGGCAGGAGTTCAAGACCAGCCTGGCCAACATGGTGAAACCCTGTCTCTACTAAAAACACAAAATTAGCCGGCGTGGTGGCACACGCCTATAATCCCAGCTACTCGGGAGGCTGAGGCAGGAGAATCACTTGAACCCGGGAGACGGAGGTTGCGGTGAGCCGAGATCGCACCATTGCACTCCAGCCTGGGCAACAGGAGCGAAACTCCATTTCAAAAAAGAAAAGAAAAAGACAAAACAAATGCATGTATGTTAGGAAGCAATAAGTGCTACAGAAAAAGTAAAGTACAGACCATGAACAGACACTAGGGGTTGGGAAATGGGCTGCAATTTTAAGTAGGTCAGGAAACACCAGTGAGAAAGATGATCAGACAATGTCACTGCTCCATTAGATCCCCTCTTTCTTTTTTCACCGTTTTTGGGCCACCCCTTTCTTCCTATAGTGTGCTTTATTCTTAACATCCAAAACCTGCAGTGTTTCTTCAGAGGATTCCCTAGAGACAACACCACCCAGCGCCTCCCCAGCACTGCAGTTGCCTCATCTCCCCACTATAATCCCAAAGGCAGGGAAGAAATCAGGCTGGAGTTGCCGGACAACGCCAGAAAACGGTACTGGAATCCCTTCTGAGGCCTTCGTGTATCGTACATTCATTCTTTACATGTCTCTGATGCTTCTGTATTTTTAAGAAAGCAATTTCATGGACATTTTCTCAAGCACCACTCGGGCTGCCTGTCCATAGGGCAGACGAATCTCCTTTAGTCTTTCTCTTGAATGTGCTCTTCAATTTCAAGAATCTCTATTCCTGAGTATAACGACATCGAAAGAATTGGACAGAGTATCGGAAGAATTGGACAGTTCCGGGCTTTGCAGACTTCTAGAGATGCGTCTAGTCCCTGTTGGCACACTCAGGGTGGGGGCTGAGGGCAGGGCAAGAATTCAGCCTCTCTTAATGTCAACTGTTTTCAAGTAATAACCACAGGTCAGGGATCCCATCTGCTCATTCTCCCTCCATATAAAAATCCGTCAGGTGTTCCTGTATTCAAAGAAGGGGCTACTCACTCCATCTGGTAAACCCACATACTCATGATTTAGTGGAAAGAGCCCTGGAGTAGCACGGAGGGCTGCCTCAGTACACACTTCACTGAGCCATCTAACAAGGCATGGGTCGAGCCCCTCGTAGGCGCTGGCAGTGGGAAGATGACGGATGCAGACAGCGGAACCTTGCTTTCGAGGCCTTCCCAAAGCGCTGGAGATGACAAAACACACACACGGTCGGATGCAAAGGGTCCGGCTCAGGTCGCCAATCATTATCATCAAAAAGCCGCGGCATCCAAAACAAGGATTCTCCCTAGGGGTACGTTCCAGGAGGGCATCGCAGAGAGACCGCGGAGCTGGATCCGGAAGGACCCGATGAGCTTAAGCTGGAAGCGGGGACGGTGGTTCCCGGTGGCGGGAGCCGAAGGAGCCCAGGCGGCACCGCGGCGCTGCGAGGACACACCGGCTGTGGCAAGCGGGGGTCCACGTCTCCGCGCCTCGGCTCAGCAACCTGGGACGATGACACCCTAAAAGCGCTTGGAAAAACTGTAAAAACTGCGAGGCGCGCCTGTGAGGGCGCCAACGCCGCCAGGCGAGTCCTCCACGCCTCCACCCCCGACTGAGTCAAGTCCAGACTCCGGCGCCCAGCCGAGAGGAAAGAAAGGCAGGGGGTCGGGGAGGCTGAGCTGCGCGCCGCCACGGTGGTTCCGCGGCCGCCGGCTGAGCGCTTCCCGCCGTCTCCCACCGCGGTCCCCACCGCCGCTCGGCAAGCCTCGGCACCTCCCGACACCTCCTCGGTCGCCGCGGCCGCTCCCGCTCCTCACAGCCGCGAAGCCCAGGCCTATCCCGCGGTCGGGCCTCCTCGGCCCTCTTCGCCGTGACGAATCGGCGCCCAGTTGGAAACGTTTCCAAATTCGGGGAGTTTTGAGAGCCAATGGGGCCTGGAAAAAAATCCCTGAGTGTGCTAAGCATCACCGCGTCCTCAGGAGAGATTTATTTTTTCTAAAGAGGGTCGGGTGGGGCCTGGGAAAAAAAAAAAATTAAGAAGAGTGTGGAAAGTGCGAGTGCGGAAGCTCCGGACGCGAGGGGCGGGGCGTGCGCGGGACAAAGGGAAGCGAAGCCGGAGCTGCGGGCGCTTTTTCTGCCCGCGGGTGAGTGTTTCCAAGTGGGCCGGACCGGGTCGGTGGGGGCAAGTCGTGGTGTCCCCGCTTGGCTGGACCCCGAGTTCCCTGGGGTTGCTGGGGTTCAGGCTTGGCCGTGGGGCCGGAGCCGGGAGCCGGATGCGGCCTCCTTGAGGCCTAGCAGAGCGAAGGTTGGGAGGGAGTCCCGTCTGGGGCCCCCTCCTTGGAGGCAAGGCCAGTCCCCTGAAATTGGTCAAAGCACCTGTGCATCCCGCGTTTTAGGGGAGTTGCTAGTCAAGTACGTTCACCAAGACAGACTTAAAGAGAGCGACCTCAGGAAGCCCGCGGTCAAGGCAAGTCCGTGGTTCTCACCCCCCAGGAAGAAGGTTCCCCCATTGGTTCAGGCAGCGACCTGAGAACTCATGTGGCTTAGAGTGATGAACGGAGCTCTGAAATAGTTTGGCCTGGGTTTGAAACCCAGCTCTGGCACTTGCTGGCTGCGTGTGGCTTCAGACAAGTTATTTGCACTCTCCGAGACTCCGTGGCTTCATCTGTAAAATGGGGATAGCTGTACATATCTCATAAAGTACTTGTGACTGTTAAGCGAAATAGTTCGTCAGCCTACCCCGTATAAAATATTTGAACAAATATTTATCGGGTATTTATTTTTATGCCAGGCACCAAGGATGGATCCAGCGGTGGACAAATGTACAAGCCCCCTCTTAAATTTTATATTCTAGCAAAGGAGAACAATAATTTTAAAGTATTCGCTTGTGGCAGTTGTCAGGGTCCCCTGCAGCGAGGCCCACTGGATGTTGACAGCTCCCTTAATGTGAGCAGAAAGGAAATCTACACGAGTCAAAGGTTTCTGACTGTCCTTTAAGAGGGAATGACTCAGGTTGGACCGTTGGGAAGATAAACTGTTTCTTTCCACACGAGGACTCATTCCTTATGCTCCCGGGAATTTCCTTAAAATGAATGCTAGAAGCAAAAAATCGGGCCTATTTTACATAATTTTGGATGCAAATACCTCCAATAGTCATCGAAGTGTGAATGCGTGCTTTCTAAAGACGAATTTGTGTCCTTTTGTACCTTACTATTTGTGATGTATGTTGATGTAAAGAGCAAGCTCACATGAGCCTGGTCATGTTGTGAGATGGTAATACTAGGACAAAATTTCCTAAGACTATAGCTAGGTCCCGACCTGGTCCCTGTTTCCAAGTAGCATCCAATCTAGCCATATTGACAAGCTTTTTAAAAGTTATAATAATATCATAGATCTGTGTAAACTGTATAGGAACACAGATGGCAGAGCAATTCTCCCCAGGTAATGTATCAAGAAAGTTCCATTGAGGAGATAAATTTGGAAATGGGCTGTGAAGGATGAATAAAAGCTTTTCACGTAGACTCTCAAAATTTATTCCCGGCATTTCTGAAGCTATTTACCTCCATAAGAGAATATGAAGTTCATTGTCAATTACCTTTTGCACTGCTTCCAAGACTAAAATGCTGCCCTATTATAATAAAAATTGTTATCCCAAAAGCATGGTACAGTTGCTGATCAGGGAGCTGTCAGTTATCTGGTAGGCCTTGTTGGGTAGGACCCTGATAATACATCACATTCTATTCTCATCCTTGTATCAGTCTGAGGAAATGTTTACATGGTGTCAGCAAAATGTTTTTCATTCTAGAGGTGGCTTAGTATCACAAGAAAAAAAAAAAACCTGAAAGTACATTTCTAAATATCCCCAGTACTTTATTTTAGTCATTTAGTTCTAATCAGCCAAATGACCTTTAAGAACCAGTTAAAATATGCAGAAGGCTTAATTACTAGGAATTAAGGTGAAGTAATTTTACTCGGAAATCCCAATTAAATTACCCTATTCATTAGGAAAACATTCTCGTATGCTTGCTGAGTTTTGATTCTCTTTTTTTTTTTCCTTTTTTTTTTTATTTTAGTGTCTCAGATTCATTCTTAAGGAACTGAGAACTTAATCTTCCAAAATGTCAAGTAAGTTTCAATTTTTATATTTATCAATCTATGTTAATAAGAGACTAATGCCCTAGCAAGTGGGAATTCCAAAATACTCTCATTTTTTTTTTCTTCAAAACAGGACCATTGGTAGTTTTGTTGCATAGTATTATATCTCAGTTGTTTACAAGAAGTTATTTATTTTCTTTCAAACAGAAAGACCATCTTATGCCCCACCTCCCACCCCAGCTCCTGCAACAGTAAGTTTTAATTTTCTTGTTAATGTAATAGCCAAGTCTGGCCTTGATACAAAAACCCAGATGTCTTCCAGTGACAGTCACTCAATCATCACAGCAACAGGATGAAATTCAGCTAAAAAAAAAAAAAAAAAAAAAAAAAAGAAAGAAAGAAAAGAAAAAAGAAAAACAGCACTTCCTTCTAAATAAAATAATTATCTGCATCTTTCCTTGAACCAACCCCAACATTTAAAGAAACAATACTGTAAAATTCCAACCTCCTATGCTCAGTTTGTTTTTTCTTTGTAAATGGAAAATGACAGTTTTAACACTTCTTATTAATCTTCACTATTAAGAGTCTCTAAGTTAATACTGAGTGAATGCTCATTCTGGCTTTTTTGTTAAACCTAACCTTCAACTGGTTATGTTTTTTTCTCCTTTCTTGTCTCTCTAAAATTTTCATATTAAATTAAACAATAAAGCTTCTGAAATTACACTCATTCTAAGTATTTTCAAGCTGTTCAAGTAAAGATTTCATTATCTATGGGTCAGATCTTGTTACTGAATCTTAATTCCATTCCACAAATTACATTTTATTGGTTTGGAAGTAATATATGTTTTTAAGGTATCTAAAAAGTAGTTGTGAACATGGTTTTTCACCCAGCAAGCTCTGGCCCAGCTTGGTCAGCATGTAAAATAATTTTCCAACCCACAAAATAGATTTAACAGTAACTGTTGAGGTCTTGCTGAAATGGCTTCCTTGTTGGTTTTTTGGGTGGGGGGTTTTGTTTGTTTTTCTAAAAAACACTGTTAACATGACCAGATTCTACAAAATTAGTTCTTTAATATTAAACCTTCCTTCCATAGCCCCTACCATCTAAATTTCAGGCTAGTCTACTTTTCACTACTAATTAGGTCCTTGTGTAATTTTGTTTTCTCCACTAGAAAACTACTCATATTTACTAACCCTCAGATGTATATTTTCTTTACATTTGTCAGCAATTTGTTTTTCCTTAGTGAGATGCTTTTAAAAAAAGATATTGTACCATATGTTCTCATTTCAATTTATATTACATACAGGCTCTAAAGTTAATTTCAGTAGACTGTAAAGTCCTGTGCTTGGTTTGTTTTCTTTCTTAAATCAAAGAACATTTGTTATGACCATCTCCATGGCATTCTGCTAGTGGCTATACAGGTGGAGCTGAACAATTGAGATTCTGACCCCAAAAAGCTAACCATGTACTTTAGCTTTGGAAATGGTATAATCATAATGTTTTGCTTTCCATTATTTTTAGTTCCCTTATTTTTCTAACATTATTGCCTCATAATGTTGAACAGTGATTCTTATTATTTATGCAACCTTTGAAGGTGTCATTTTGACATAAATACCACCTCTGACAATGTATAATATCTTGAGGACAAACTTGATTTTTTGAGGTTAAAATATTTCAAAAACCAAGTGTCCCCTTATAATTTCTTATGTGTAAAAAGGGACTTTTTTGCCTTTCTTTAGTTATATTTTTGTGCCATTATAATTTCACATAAACACACAAAATATAGAAGACTAGGGATTAGAACATCCAACAGAATGGATACTAAATGAGTTATTCTCCTTTCTTTTTTCTTTCCATTACTTCTACCGCTACCACCACCACCATCACCACCACTACCACCGCTACCACCACCACTACCGCCACTCTCACCTCCACCACCCAAATGTACCACTCCAAGTAATATACACTTCTTTCGTGCCTTTGATACTTCATCTGTGTTTTGCCTACTTAAATATGCTTGATTTGCGTCTTTTTTAACTGTATAGAGTAGAAATTGATCAGCCGTTCTCTTTTTTTTCCTAAAGAGTATGAAATGTCATATCTGCTTAAATGTCTTTCTTTTGGGTACTAAGGATATGTGCAGCGGCATGTTTTAGGAAATTGTATTTATTTTGTAACAGCTACAGCTTAGTTGGAATATGTTAAGTGTATTTTATATCATGTAATTAAGGACCGATAATTGTTAATTGCATGTAAAAAATGAAATTGTCACGTATTTTGACTGAGTTTTACAAGGTAAAATACCCTAATTTTGGTCTCTCTCTACTACATTCTTTCTATGCATTATGCCTTGGTTCTCATGAACATTGAGTGTCATTGTGTTAGCCCCAAGGCCATTGCTATCTCAGAGCCCAGTTGGTGATTACATCAACACATAATTCACAAAAACCAAGAGTTCTGTTGCTGAAATGAGCAGTTGTGTTTTCAAAGGGTGAGAGCTATCAGGAAACTAGATGAAAAAAGAAAAAAAGTAGTTCACATTGAGACTAAATGCAGAAATTTTTTCATGATTGACCTATGGAAGATGGATCAAAGAAGAGATGGAAGAGAAATCCTGTAAAAGAATGACTGGGTTAAAAAGATCAGATAGTACCCCAGAATGGAATCCATGCATTTCTTACAAGTCTTTGTTTTAAATCATGTATGTGACATCCATCAGATCCAACATATGTTCTTTTCAATTGACAAATCCTGGCTTCCTGATTTGAGTCTCTTCTCATTTCTCACATTATATAAAATTATTTAAAACTGTCTTTGAAATCAGATCCATTTCTTGTTTTTGTTTTTAGTAGATGAATACATTGGTGGCATCCACATAACTGTCAAATAAATTGTGTTTTGTTTTGCATGTAGTGTTTTCAGAGTTCTAGTTTATCACACTTCAAGCCTTCCTATCTCAGTCTTCATATATTGCTAAGTTGTTATATCCTATTGTTGACCATAAAGTAATCCTGAACGTTTTAAACACTTCAGTGTATTGCTTACCTCAAAAAACGACACACATTTACAGTCACACAAACATCCCCAGCCCCTACAAAAAAGAAAGAGAAAAACAACCAAAAGACACTGCAAACAGGTTTCGCAATGAAAGAAAAATATTTAATTTCCTCAGTGAAAAAAAAGAACAATTACAACACATCATTGCTTGTTTAAATTCAGGTTGCTTTTGCATGCCATATGCAGATCATTTTTCATTTCTGTGTTTTCCTCGTTTGAGCTCATTTCTCATTCGTGTTTTTGTCTCATTTGTTTCCATCAGCAAATGCCCAGCACACCAGGGTTTGTGGGATACAATCCATACAGTCATCTCGCCTACAACAACTACAGGCTGGGAGGGAACCCGGGCACCAACAGCCGGGTCACGGTAGGAGAATCAACTATTACAGCATCCGGCAAACAACTGGAATTGACCAGAAATGCCTTCAGAATTAGGTCCTTTTGAATCATAAGCACAGCCATTTAAAAAAATTTTTTTAACCTGGCTTTTTGACTATTTTCGACATTCATTGTAGGATCTCACACTGAAAAAATAAATAGTGAGATCTGGAATGTATATGGAAGAAAAGGAAAATCCATTCTGTTTGGTGGTTGGTAGGGATAAAGCCTTGAGCACTTGATGCTTATACTGTATGTAAACAATCAGAGTTTCTTATGGTAAAAATACCCTTTTTGACGTAAAGAGTATCTTTCATTTTTCTAAGGTGATTGGCATTAGTCTCAAGGACTCAGTTTCTAGTAAAGGCTGGGCTTTCTGACCTGGCTTTTTCAGGTCTGGAAAGCTTTTGGCTGGCATACCAGTTTGAATCACTACCCATAGTTGTTTGTCTTTTGGATTTGATAATTGACCCTTTAACTGAGACTCATTTCTCTCTAGTAAAAAAGAGAAAAATGTTTTAATGTCACCTCAAAGAAATGCAGAATAAAGGCTGAATGAAATTAATTTTAAGTATCAGACTGGATATGCACAACGAGAAGTGCGTCTTTAATCCTTAGTGTAAGAGATATGATTTCTGAAACTTAGGATGTGTCATTTAAATCATCAGCCCAAGTCATCAAAATTGGATGATACACTTCAAAGCTTTTATTTTAGAATCATCTTAAATTTCATTCAAAAAAGTTTAGGTACCAAAAAACGCCAATAATTATAAAAATGACTTACTAAAAATAAAAATAAATCCAAAAGTCAAACACTTATATACATTGGAATGTAGTGTTGGTGAGAATTTATACAACCCAGAATGGCTGTAAAGTTTTTAATACCTGGTTTTTGTTTGCTGTGTTCATAAATAACAAGTGTCTTCTATTAATGTAACTTCAAAAAGCCCTCTCACCCTGTAGTCAAGCTGGAACTGAAAGCTTGTAGCTATCAAATGAATGTCTATCTTGATAAGCATATTGCTTAGCTTGATAGGTTTTGTTTGTCTAAAATTTTTCATTGTTTCTGCATAATTTGTACTTCATAAGCATATCAAGTTTTTATGTGCCATGCATATTTCATGGTATCTGAAAAGAATTCTGACACAGTGTGTGTATGTATGCATTTCACAATGCATACAATTTTTATGTGCATCAGTACATGTTTTTCCCTGGCCTAAATGTGTTGTTTCACGAGTGTAATGGGTGACAAGATTTTCAAATGATAAAGAACATTTTAATGTAAACAATGAACAGAACCAATTGTGGATCTTCATGTTAATGCAGAAATTTTTTCATGGGCGGTAAACAAGAATGATTGCATTTAATAGCTCTATACAGTCACCTCTTGATTATCTATGTTAATGGAATAGAAATGGTAACTATAATATGACAATAATTTGTCTTTTGGTTTGTGTGAGCATTTTGTTCTTAACTTGGTTTTAGCTGCGGGGGATTCTTTGTTAATAAAGTGAGATTATTCAATGGAGACTAGGAAGAGAACGTGCACTCCCTATTGAATCACTCATCTATTTCTTCCCATTCCTTCTTGGCGAGTGTTAAGAACCAAACATTTGGTGTGGATACTAGCTTCATGGTAGATTAAGTATAGAGTTATTGGGCACAGAAAATTTGGTGTTTTCGTCCTTTGTGGAGATTTACTTTGTATTATTGTCTTCTTAACGCTAGATTGAAGTATAATCGAACTGCTACATGAAGGACCTAGAAAATGTGGAGGTTTTATACTACTTGCTCTGTTTTTTCTTTATCTAATTTAAGCCGTGTTAGGACTCAGTGGCTCTGATTTTGACCATTATAAAAGCGTTTTGATTTTACTGTGACCCTAGTTATGTATTACTTTTGGGGGTGAGGGGAAGCTCCTATTTGGCGTTGTTGCCTGCAGATTGCGTTAGTGATTTTCAAGGAATGAGTTTGTGAAGCCCTGTCAGTCAAGTAGCTTCTGGTAGGCCATAGAGAACACTGGGTTTCCCTGATGACTCCAGTACACTTGGATCGTTTTCAGTCAATAAATATAGCATGTTGAGACCTTGTGGAGAACGTATGATAGCTATGAGTTGGAATTGACTCCTAGTCAGTTCTTCATTCAGATGATGATTAGCATTTTCTTAAGTACAGGTGTGAAAACAGATTGAGACAAAAATGTCTTTAAAAACAGCCTATTTCCTGTGCATTAATAGAAATTCGGTCCCAGAAGAAACCCCTTAATAAGACCCTACTAGAGAAACAGCTGAGAATTGCAAAAGAAACAACAAAAAAACTGAGTAACCAAGGTGAATTTCATAAAATCATGGACTTTATTCATAGGAGATTTCCTAGGACCTTGCTCTTATGTAATAAGCACAGTTCCACTCCCCATTGGAAATTGAAAGTAGACAATTGGAAAGAGAGAGAGTTGCTGCTAGAGGTGGATTTCCTGATAGTAGCAAGGAAAGAAACAGTTCAAAAATGGAAACAACACTCTCCAAAAGCATAGCCCCTGGGCCGTTCAGTAAAAGAGCCAACAATAGTTTTTTTTTTTACATTTCACACATCTGACAGAGGCTTACAGCACAGCAAAACAGTGGTTGTTTCTAACTGAATCTTACCCAGAAAGGGTCTGAAGTATGTTTAACTCTTTTTTTTTTTTTAAAGAAATGTTTAAGACACTGTAGAAAGATGTCTGTCTGAGACATTAAATAAATCGGAGTGTATAATTATATAAATCTACTATCACCCGAAAACCATCTGGAATTTAACTTTATTCTTGTTGTGGTTTTTTTTTTTAAGTTTTGGGGTTTTTGTTTTTGTTTGTTTGTTTTGGTAAGTTGACTGGTCTCAATATGTAAATGATTTGTGTACCTTTCTTTGGGAGAAAGGAGGGGAAATAGCAAATCTGTTAATATAAAATGTGATTCTTTGAAAAATACCATAAAGTAAATACTACTATGTTTTTAAAGTGTTTTAATTCATACTTAAAACTTGAAAGCATAGGCATTTTGGAATTCTTTACCTCTTTAATTTTAAAAAAAAATTGACAGTGGTCTTACTACCTCAGTTATGGGCACAATTCCAACTTTAATCGTAACCCATTTCATGGATTTCTGAAGGCTTGCGTTGGATATGAGTTGGAAATGTTGAAGTCATGTATATTACTTTCTAATAACTTTTTAAGTGTGAAGAAGCAGCCTTTTGTGTATCTGTTCCTCTGAATCCGTAAGGTTAGCCTTACAGGAATTTCCTTTCCCCTTGAAAACTCCTACAAAATCTGATACAGGTTTCCCCTTATTGGCCACGCATCCCACCACTTTTGACAGTTTCCATGCCTCCTGACCATCTCTGTTGCCCACTGCTGGCTGAAAACAGGGTCTGTCTACCTGGGCACCAGCATGAGGTGTGGTAAGAATGCATGGGAGGAATGGAGAGAGAGGAAATACTGCTTCTAAGCCAAAATGCTTTCTAATAACTTCATATATGAAGAAGTAGAGCTACAGGGAAGAAGAAAGACCCTTGTAGGAAGAGGAAACATTTCTTGATCACAGTGGAAAGGGACACAAACGTGCTCATCCTAGAGCCCTCAAATGCAAAATAAGGTTATAATTGGGGTCCCAGCCCAGAGTGGAGGACTATCTCTGGGGTTTTATCACAGCAGCAACAGCAGAGGAAGTTAACAAAATGTCACTTTAGTTTTCTTACAAGGATTTGCCAATCCTGTCTTTTGATAATCAGTATAAAGCCAGCACTGCTTTTCTCCAGCCTACCAGGAAGAGTCAGTATCAGAGATCTGAAAATTTGCAGATTGTCTGAAATAGCAATGCTTTCTCTTATCCTGGGTCTTTAATCAAATGCAGTCATGCATATTAAGGGGAGACTAAAAAGTTGTAAAAGATAGTTGTGGATGGGTGTTATCTGGGGGGCCTACTAGAAGCTGTCTGGAATCTCACCTAGACCTTAAACCAGAGGAAAAACTGATCACTTCTTTCTCTTTCCTTCTTCCTTTTGTGTTTTTTCTCTCACTTATTTTTGCTTTGCCTTATTAAAAAATATTTTTCAGTCTTCCCTCCCCCTCCTTTTCTCCTGTCTCCCTCTTCCTGCATATCCCATCTTTCCTTTTACTTTGTCTTTCCCATAAAACGGAAGATTTTTAATGGAATGGAGTTTGTCATTATAAGACCTCAAAAATAACATTATCAGGCCCCATATCTGCCACTTCTCTGTTCCTGATAAACTTGTTTGCTTTTACACTGTGATTAGGCCTAAGGACAAAGAAAAGTGTGACTTGAGTTCACACTTCTCCTTCCCCTTTACAAGGAAACCACTAGGTAACAGACAGAACCTTAAGAGAAATAAAATCTCTAGCCTGGCGAAGGAGGTAAGGTGGTTTGTTATTTCACAAATTGTTTTTGTTTTTGAACCTGGGAAGTTGTTTTTGTGGTGGTATTGTTGGGAGTGCATCCCTAACATAGTGCTAATAGGTACTGAGGCTCCTATAGACAGTGTGAGAATGGTAAGTGCTAAGGGTTCAGATCCTGCTACAGATAATCAAGTGTTGACTGTATGTGTAACGGTAATTGAGCAGAATCAGAGGGTGCCAGGTAAAGTCCTGAATGTGAGACGGTTGATCTATAACCATATATTTTCAATGTATGGGTTATCATGTAATATTTTATTTGTTCTTACAGCCAGGTTGTCAAAGTATTGGCAATAAACTGCTAAGTAAAACATTTAAAAATTATGTGCTTAAAGTCATTTTCTTTTGAACATTTCTGAATTTGCAGTAATAGCTATTTTCAGTGGAGAAAATATTTGGACGAGTAGAAGAAAGGCGCATTAGAATTTTTTAAGGAACTCTTCTTCAGTTTGCCGGTGAACTCCTTACAGTTGAATAATGAATGTATTTCACTCTTTTGTAGGCATCCTCTGGTATTACGATTCCAAAACCCCCAAAGCCACCAGATAAGCCGCTGATGCCCTACATGAGGTACAGCAGAAAGGTAGGCACTTAGGACCTGGAAAGGAGTGAGGACACTGTCTTTGCTGCTTCTTTGCTTTACATCCAATTTTAGATTGGCTTAGCCAGCTTTTCTGTGCATATTCAGAGGAAAGGACCAAAAAACTACAGTTTTTAAAACAATTAGTTCTGATTTCAAAATTCCAGAACAAAATCCAACAAGAGGAGCATGATTAAATAAACTTTTAAAATCCTTAGGACAGAATGTTCGGTAGCCATTGAAGTCATGTCTTTTGTAGAATATTTAATGACATGAGGAATGTGTTAAGTGAAGGAGGAAGACAAGACTATGAATTAATATCTAATTTTTATAAAAGTAATAGCAACCACATGTTAGTTTGAAGGGGGAAAACACAGAAGACAATGATTATCTCTAAGCAGTAAGCTTATTGTAGTTAAATTTTCTTTATGTTTCCTCAGATTTCCCCAATTTTGTTTTTTTTTTGTTTTTTTTTGTTTTTTGGTTTTTTTGGTTTTTTTGGTGATGAACCTACATTACTCTTAAAATTAAAAAAATAGCCAATATCTTTATTAAAAAGCAGAGCATTTTAACCACTATCTAGAAATTTTAAACCTTTTGGTCTTGACTAGTATATATGTATTTGATAATATGATGTATTGTGTTACGCAAATTAAGCATTTTTTTCTAAATTCACATAAACTTTTAGAGACGTAGCCTGTGTTGTTGAAGTAACTCATCTTAAGCATGTGTAGTGATTGGAGATATTCTTGTCTATCAAATTGAAGTATTTATAAGTGAGTGGCATGATGCCTGAGATCTGTCTTAATCCAGTAGGGCAAAGATGACATGAGATTGGCCAGCCATTGATGATTGTTGAAGTAGGCTGAGGAGTACATAGAAATTTGATCCTGTTTTCTCTGCTTTTTATGTTTAAAAGTTTCCATATTAAAAAGTATTTTTTTAGTGTCTGTACATTTAGACATCAGTATTGACATTTCACCTGTTTTCTTTTTAAGGTCTGGGACCAAGTAAAGGCTTCCAACCCTGACCTAAAGTTGTGGGAGATTGGCAAGATTATTGGTGGCATGTGGCGAGATCTCACTGATGAAGAAAAACAAGAATATTTAAACGAATACGAAGCAGAAAAGGTAGAGTAGAGGCTCACAGTGGGATAGATAATGCGTAAAGTACATAAACACTGGCTTACTATTTATAAAGGAAACATAAGATTTGGTCAGAAGGCTGATGCTGTACTGAGGCTCTGTCTACCTAAGTCAAGTCAACTTCTCAAGGCCTCAGGTTTCTTGTCTGTAAAAAAGGAGATGATTATCCCAGCACTCTGCTTACATCATATCTTTTGATAGTCAAATGAGATAGCGTAAGTCTGCATTGTAACCTGCAAGATGTTAACTATAAAATCAAAAAACATTTGAATTTCAGATAGAGTACAATGAATCTATGAAGGCCTATCATAATTCCCCCGCGTACCTTGCTTACATAAATGCAAAAAGTCGTGCAGAAGCTGCTTTAGAGGAAGAAAGTCGACAGAGACAGTCTCGCATGGAGAAAGGAGAACCGTACATGAGCATTCAGCCTGCTGAAGATCCAGATGGTAAAAGAAAACAAGTGGGGTTTTGTTCTTGCTTTCTCTGAGAGTTAAGATATGAGAAATCTCCTAAGTATAAGTTTTTATTTCTTATCCTAAATGGAAAAGAAAGCATAATTCAAGTATCATCTCAGTATTTTGGTTGTATTAAGATTTGTATGTGAATTTCCCACAAGAAAAAGAAATATCTTTTTCAGTGTAGAAAATAGCAAAAAATATTTATTGTTTATCAGAATCTTTGTACTCAAAATGTATGAAAGGTTTTTAAGTCACAATCAGGATTTTGCCTCATCTGCTTTTTAAAAGCTAAATGCATTCTAATTATATCCTGTTTTTTTAATGGTTCACTAAATTTGCTGAATTAAGGGCTCTTAAGGGAGAAGCTAATGAGTATGTAGAAACATTACGAAATTTCCTTTCTATTTAATTCAGAAATCCAAAAAGAATGTATAAATATAGCTCATGCTACTACTCACGAGGGTACACCCATACAAATTTTATACATGCACACGAATAGCAGAGCTTCCTAATTACCATCTTGAATGAGTACTTAGCAGGTGTGCTGATTGTTCTGGTCTTGTGCAGCCAGGCAGGGTCTGAAGCTGCAAGGAGACACACAGATAGCCACCTGCAGTATGAACACACTCAACCACATACCTAGTGTGCTGTATAATATTAATAGTTTTTCTGTATGCTGCTGTCATGTGCAAAAGATTAGAAGCTCCAGCTACAAGCAACAAAGACATCAGGAAAATGATTTAAGATCCCATTTTAAAGTAGCAATAACAAAGAGGAAGCCTATAAGAACTTTAAAGACAACATCAATGAGGGAGGAAGCAATAATAGCACCTAAAGACAAGAATAAATTGATAAAAGTGGAGAAACCCAAAAATCGTTTTTTAAAAGAATGGACTGGAATATTGTTCCCATAAATACAGACAGTGAAATGTAATACTATAGAGAATAGACTATGGAATCGAAACAGTAATGAGTGGTTTTTTTTTTTTTTACTTTTTTTAAAATAATTCCCTTGAACAGCTGACACCAGACAGTGCTGAGTGTTAAGCCCAATAATCAGCGTGCTAAAGACACACTAGCATTCTCACACTTTAATTACTCAAATGGGATGATTAATGCAAGAGAAACATAAAGAACTGAAAAACAGATGTTCAATGTACAGCTATTGGGAGGATGCGGGTCAGTACAAGAGGAAACAGAGGCCAGCAACATAAGTAGAAAATAACTAAAGCTTTCATTAACAGCATGAACATTGAGAAGGACTGAAGAGATTCACTCAGAAACAGTCTCAAACTTGGGCCTGTTATGTTTTCAACTTTAAGATCGGATCTTAAAGTTGCTAGTAAGAAGGTACAGGTAGCAATTAAGATTCGAGTATGAGGATGTCGTTAGCATGCCAGTATGAAAATGATCAGAAAGAGGAAGACTTGGGAGGTGGAAATGTATGTAAAATGTACATAAGAGAAAGGTGGCACCTGCATGAAGTACAACAGCTACTGACTTCTTTAACAGAGAACTGTCAAAAGATAGACATGGCCAGGTACCATGGCTCATGGCTGTAATCCCAACACTTTGGGTCATACCATTTATTTGGGAAACTGAAGCAGGAGGATTGCTTGTGGCCAAGAGTTTGAAACCAGCCTGGGCAACATAGCAGGACCCTGTCTCTACAAAATACTTAAAAATTAGCTGGGCATGGTGGCTTGTGCCTGTAGTCCCAGCTACTCCGACTGAGGCTGAGGTGGAAGGATCAGTTGAGCCCGGGAGTTCGAGGCTGCAGTGAGCTATGATCATGCCACTGCACTCCATCCTGGATGACAGAGCAATACCCAGTCTCAAAAAAAAAAAAAAAAAAAAAAATAGGGCATATGCAGTTATCCACACAAGACAATAAAGGCTTTTATTCAGTAAGAGACCCTTCATGGGATAAAGAGCTGTCGAATTAAATCATAACTAGAAAAGCCATTTCCCATAAAACAGGAAGCAGACAACTAACATGCAAGGAAGGACAAGCCCAGATTGCTCAGACTTTGTTTTCCCACGTCAACACTGGGGCCATATAAATGAAAGAAGAAAACAAAAAATAACAAAAGTAGGTAACTTAGAGTTAGCACAAATTTACCATAGATAACCTTAAAGGTGAAACGCTCCTAAAAAGTAGAACGGTTATAGTTTAAAAAACTGTATCTTGCCTAGTAGTTTCAGTTTCAGAAGTTTATTTCCAAAAGAAATTACTCAAAAGGAAACGAAAGTAAATTTTTTAAAAACAGTTTTTAACTGTAGTATTTATGATAATGAGAATTTTAGGAACTATTTATTTAACTGCCACAATAAGGGAGGTGCTAGACTGTGACGTAGCCGCACAACACAGGCCTCTGTAGCAAGGTTTCCTCAAGTGTGGACCCTCTGTCTGGCGGGACACTGACGTGATAAACTGGTTCAGAGAGGAGCATTTGTTTTAATACGTATTGCTTAAGAGAATGCTCTCTTTTTATTTTTTTAAGTGAGTTAGTTTAAAGAAAAAATATTAAGTAAACAATAGTGCAGGCTGTTAAAAGAGATATGAAAAACTATAACATTAGGAGACCAAAGACTGAGATTAAGGAAACACTAGATAGCTATTAAAAATAAGCATAATAGGGTGGGCACAGTGGCTCACACCTGTAATCCCAGCACTTTAGAAGGCCAGGGTGGGTGGATCACATTAATTCAGGAGTTCAAGACCATCCTGGCCAACATAGTGAAACCCTGTCTCTACTAAAAATACAAAAATTAGCTAGGCATGGTGTCAGGCACCTGTAATTCCAGCTACTTGGGAGGCTGAGGCACAAGAATCGCTTGAACCCAGGAGGTGAAGGTTGCAGTGAGCCAAGATCAGGCCATTGCACTCCAGCCTGGGTGACACAGCGAGATTCATCTCAAAACAAACAAAACAAAAACATATAAACCAGACCTGTACTTTATGAACTTGGGTCATACCATTACACACTGACAACAGCTGGCTAAGTGTAAACTGACAAAAATTAAATTTGGAATCAAACATTTATTTTTCTTCTATAAATTACTTGAAGGCCTAGGAAACTGAATATTGTTAGAGGTGATGTTTTCTCTGCTGTGATAATTTTACAAATGGACATTTTCATTCATTTTCAAAGTGCTTCAGTGACAAAGACACTGCCGAGTTCATATGATGTTCATCAGTTGTTAAGTGCCTTAAGTTACTACCAGGAAAGTAAAACACAGGGGCAGAAGGTCAATGAGGGCCATCACATGCAGCCTTCACATTGATTCCAAAGCCAAAAGAGAAATGTTATATCTCGTTAATGTTTTAGCCAAATCCTTCTCAGACACACATCGTCACTTAAAGACTGGGAGATAAACGACGACCTTGGTCAATGAACACATTATGTCCTCTGTATGGTTTTTATCAAGTAACTGCCCCAGAGCTCCCATGATGCTGGTCAGGTCCACTTGTTAGGCCAGTGAGGGCCATAGTTCCTTGGTAATTAATTGTTAACATTGTTACACTCCTTTTTTGGTTACTGGTGACCTAATTTCCAGAATAATCTGTTCATTCCAGATTACGATGATGGCTTTTCAATGAAGCATACAGCCACTGCCCGTTTCCAGAGAAACCATCGCCTCATCAGTGAAATCCTTAGTGAGAGTGTAGTGCCAGACGTTCGGTCAGTTGTCACAACAGCTAGAATGCAGGTCCTCAAACGACAGGTCCAGTCCTTAATGGTTCATCAGGTAAAGTCATAAAATATTCATTTCAATAAAATGGGCCCATGCCGTAAATCCCAAGTGACATGATTCTTACACCATGCGTAAATGTACCTGCTAAATATTTCAGTCTAAACTGTTCCTGATTTGGAGAAGAGGTTTAAGGAAATGGACCTTTCCCAGAGGTTTAATAAGAATGTCATTAAAAACTGTAACATAGAACCTTGTAATGGAAAATATATTTGTTTAGATATACATGTGAACGTAAGAATTTTGAGGCATCCTATCAGTCTTTACTGCTCTACTAAATATTTTTTCCAGAGGAATTGCTCAGACCTGAAACAGTCTTCTTTAATATTTGCATGTTTATCATAGTCATTTCTTTGTGCTGCATTTTGTAGTTTTTAAATCTTAGCTAGACTCATGTACTTAATGATCTAAAGTAAAAATTCAAAGCATTATTTGGTACACTGTTTGAAGCTGTGGACCATTAAAAAATGAAACATATTTTCTATGTTTGACATTTGCTTTAGAGAAAATAATTAAGTAATCATAAAGCCTGATCCTGTCTTACAGCGAAAACTAGAAGCTGAACTTCTTCAGATAGAGGAACGACACCAGGAGAAGAAGAGGAAATTCCTGGAAAGCACAGATTCATTTAACAATGAACTTAAAAGGGTATCTATTTAATATGTTAACTATACTTTTATCACTGTACCTGTTACTTTATTTTTCCTCATTCTTTTTTCCAAAATAGTGTTTTAATGAATGTTGTTCACTTTGGAACAGGGTTAACTTTACTATATAACCTGTAAGATCTTTTTTTATACAATTTTTCCCATCCTCTGGCAAAATTGCAATAAATTTGAAATATCATGGAGTATACACGTATCTACTAGGCCTATAAATGCTAGAGCCCTCTGATATTTTAAACTCCCATACAGTCAATTACTTTTATTATGATTTATTCATAAACTGTCTTCATTAGATGTAATTTATAGTTTGCATTTTACATTCAGACAAGGAAATCTAGTTGGTAGCCCAAAATATAAAATGGAAGTCTTATGTATGCCCCAGAACTTTTCACTATTTTGCCTCACCAGCTGCTCCAGAATATCGGATGTTATATGTCTGCTAGAGCAGCTTTCTTTTCTTGTAGACCCAAGAGTTTCAGAGAAGACCTAGAACCACATTTTTTTTGCCACACACAGACACACAGGTGTATAGATCTATATATAGTTTATGGAAAAGAAAACCAACTTTTGAAAGAATATATCTGGCTCAAAAATTATAAGAAAACAACATTACTAAGAGTTCTGGTTTTTTCTGACTAGTTGTGTGGTCTGAAAGTAGAAGTGGATATGGAGAAAATTGCAGCTGAGATTGCACAGGCAGAGGAACAGGCCCGCAAAAGGCAGGAGGAGAGGGAGAAGGAGGCAGCAGAGCAAGCTGAACGCAGTCAGAGCAGCATCGTTCCTGAGGAAGAACAAGCAGCCAACAAAGGCGAGGAGAAGAAGGATGGCGAGAACATTCCAATGGAGACAGGTAACCCACTCGCAACAAACACAAGGAAGTCCCAAGACTGTACAGCTGTCTTTAATTTAGATTTTTCTTTCTAAGTGCAAGTTTTCTGGTACCTGCCACTGAGAGTGATTCCCAGTACTGAATTTGACATGATACTGACATTCAATATTTTAACTTTTATTGCTTACATTATTTATCAAGATGTAGTTATTACTGTTAAGATTAATTGTCTTTGGTGTCCTAAGACAGCATTCTGCAAAGTAATACCTGTAGGCCAATTCTGCCCACCACTTGCTTTTGTAAATAAAACTGGAACATAGCCACACGTGTTTGTTTACATGTTGTCTGTGGCTGCTTTGGGGCTAAAGCAGTATAGTTGAGTAGTTGCAGCAAAGACTGCCGGGCCTGCAAAGTCGAAAATATTTGCTGTCTGGCTCTTTATAGAAAAAAATTGCCAACCCTGTCCTAGAAGAACCCTTACTTCTAGGTATATTGATTTTCCTGATTAAAAGCAGCATCCCTCAAGCTAAAAAATAATCGTAATAACTTGTATGAATAAAACTTATACAAAATACTGATTCCATTGATTATCATTTGTAATTTTGAGATCACCTAACCTCATAGCACTGTTTTGACAGTGCCTAGTACACTGTAAACAGGACTGAGCTAAAAGCCGTTATGGAAAACAAACCAAAGCCTTCCTGGAGCATCACTGCAAGAAGTGGGAGGGACAGTAGTCATACTTGGTACTCAAATGACAACCTCCGAGTGTCATACTTGGTAGTCAAATGACAACCATCTGGAAAACATGTAATGAAATACGGATCTTTACCAGGTATTTTTGCAAAATTTAATCCAGCAGGTTAACATTTTAGATAGTCATATTTTAAGTTTCACTATCTGAGTCTCTGTTTTGTATGAACTTGTTTTTTATCTTAATGAATCTGGAGCATGAGCACATCTTTGTGGTTAAAGTAAGAGCTTGAAATTTAAAATACTGATTTTTGCAACTAGACGAACACTCTGTCCCTTGCCTCCGTTTTGGCACCTGTGAATGAGGCATGTCTTATGCTTAAGGTTTGCAGGTCTTTACTCAAATTCTCTTCTCCTAGCTCAAGGAAATACCTGAAGATCATGTGAGACTATTAGAGCCAAAACCTCATGCTTTTAATTTCCTACAGGAAACAGCCCAGCATGACTTTACCAAAGTATCTAAAACAGGCGTCCCCAAACTACGGCCCGTGGGCCACATGCGGCCCCCTGAGGCCATTTATCCGGCCCCCCTCCGCACTTCAGGAAGGGGCACCTCTTTCATTGGTGGTCAGTGAGAGGAGCACAGTATGTGGTGGCCCTCCCAACAGTCTGAGGGACAGTGAACTGGCCCGCTGTGTAAAAAGTTTGGGGACCCCTGATCTAAAAGATCAACCTTACCTCATTTCTATAACTGCTTCTCCTCATTTAATCCATAGCACTACAGACTGTCTCATTCACTGGCCAATAGAAATAAAATGCAATTCACATGTGAAATTTTAAATTTTCTACTAATGACCTATTTTTAAAAGTTAAGCAAAACAAGTGTTTTAACAATATATTTTATTTAATTTAGCATATCCTAAGTAACATTATTTCAACATGGAAGAAACATTTTTAAATGTTTTTTAAACATTTAAACAGCTTTCCTTTTTTTAAATAGTCTTCAAATCCAGTGTATATTTTACATTTTTCTACACATCTCAATTCAGAAGACAAATTTTTATCAAAAGTATTTGATCTGCATTTATTTAATAAATTTCATAAATTTACAGCTAAAAGGTAGGTTTTCATACCCAGATTGTTCCAACATTCTTAAAAGTTCTGTAGTCACACTGGCTCATTTCAGGGGTTTAATAACCACATGTGGCTAGTGGCTCCTGTACTGGACAGCACAGCTGTATGCTGTCAACATAACTAGAGTAAAATTTCATCTTGGAACTGACAGTGACAAATGTGTGATTACAGAGGAGACACACCTTGAAGAAACGACAGAGAGCCAACAGAACGGTGAAGAAGGCACGTCTACTCCTGAGGACAAGGAGAGTGGGCAGGAGGGGGTCGACAGTATGGCGGAGGAAGGAACCAGTGATAGCAACACTGGCTCGGAGAGCAACAGTGCAACAGTGGAGGAGCCCCCGACAGATCCCATACCAGAAGATGAGAAAAAAGAATAAATGTTGCCTTGTTTTATGTGTTCTAAATACTTTTTTAAATGAAAAAAAAATGTTTTTTGGTTTTAATGGTGTTATGTGGTTTGTGTATTAACTTTTTTCTTGTCCATATCACACCACCAAAGGCTTTTGGACCATTTAGCATCATGAGCCTGATGGCACAGTCGGTCACCCTTCTTAGTGTTGTGGAGATGGCCTTTTCTTTGGCTCTTGTTTCTAGCCCTCAACTGCTGAAAGCCTCAGAATTTAGATTAATTGAGAAAACACCCTCCTCTTTTAGAGAATTATCCTTTGATGCTGCAGAATCTACTCTTACAATGCCTTCCTACAGCTCACTGGGGTGCTTACCAAAGCCATAGCTCTAAACCTTCCCAATCCCCGTCAACAGCTTCCTGAAAGTCTCCTCTCTTGTTTACTTCTGCAAAGGGTAGTTTCTTAAAACCGTAATCATGTATGAGTATGTATTTGTTCACTTCCCCTTTTTTACTTTTAGTCAATGTCAGATACCAAGAGTTGTGTTAAGAAGTTGAGTGTAGGCTACAACTAACTATGCTTGGATCTTACTGATCCAGAAATAGCTCCCATAGTTAAGAGTAGTTACTTATGAAATGGTCATTAAAGTGAACACAACACATATACATTATCTATACTGCTTTTTGTTATGATTAATATTGGGTATGTTACGGTCAATTCATCCTTACTGTATAGAAAAAAAATTACTTTTTTACCAGGTTTTCCAAAGACAGACTAGATCAAAAAACTCAAGGAATTTAATATTCTTGTAATGGACTAGATAATTTAAACTGATCAGCCCATTCCAGAAGAAAAACAGCTGGGAATTAAGTTAATCCACTTGAAATTATTTTACAATAATCAGAACATTCAAAACCTCAAGGCTCAGGATCCCATAGATCAGAGCCCACCTTTTGATAAACTCTTAGTACTAAGTCTTGGAGACTAGAAGCAAGATAGTTTGTGACACATATGCTTCCCAAAAACTAGAATAGATTTTTACTGAATAGTGGTATATCTGATGGTATATGTTTCTTAAAGGTCCAAATGTAATAAAAAAATGAAAAAAAAAGGTCTCAGTGTTTTTAATGCACTACATACTTGTATGCAAGACAAGCGTCCAGTTTTCTGTAATGCAGTGACAGTGTGGACTGACCACTCAACCATTGCAAGTCTGTGTTCTCGGGCCCCTTGTCTCACCCAACTGTGTCTATAAACTGCTGCAAAAGTCAGTTCATTTGTACAAGATACTTGTGAAAATCAGTTTTCATAGTCAATGTCACATATGGAAGTTGGCCTTTGACTGCACAAGTAAGGGGAATATGTTTCTACATTAACATGAGGAATATGAAGAAATCTCTAACATTTGAATTATGTCTGAAAAAGTGGCTAAAAACTCTTTAAGTCCTGTGCTTCTATGGAGAGAACTTTTCTATACCAGCATGCATGAGTTTACGATGAATTCACTCCTATTCAGTTCATGGCACATTAGTGACTGGGAATCTGTTCAGCCTCCTGAGAGGAGGGAGGAAGCTTGATGTCTGGTGGAAACAACTCTTGACATCTGTTTCCTTGTGTGTCAAATAATGATTTTATCAAATAGATGAGTTTCTGAGTGTTAGCCATTATATGGCTAAGAACTCAGCCTATCTCAGACAAATTGGACAGCCTCTTTGATACATTTTCTAGTAGTCAAAATGGGGTAGATATAGTTTAATGTGGGTGGAAAACAGTACCCAATTAAGATACCAGGTTATTTACTATGGTATCAAAGGTTCTAAGGGAATTTAAGTGGTTCCTTTGCTCAGCTGGAAATGGAACTGGGAAAACAAGTCTATCCAGACCCAGCTTGCCCATACAACACTGGCAATTGGCTGATGGCTGATGAGGAAAAAAAAATTTTTTTTTTAACTGGATTCTCGCTCTGTCACCCAGGCTGGTGTGCAGTGGTGCAATCTCATCTTACTGCAACTTCCACCTCCTGAGTTCAAGCAATTCTGTCTGCCTCAGCCTCCCAAGTAGCTAGGATTACAGGCGCCGCCACCATGCCTGTCTAATTTTTGTATTTTTCAGTAGAGACGGTTTCACCATGTTGGCCAGGCTGGTCTTGAACTCCTGACCTTAGGTGATCCACCTGCCTCAGCTTCCCAATGTATTGGGATTACAGGTGTGAGCCACCGCACCCAGCCCCATAGTCCCCCAATTTTCTAACAATTTTAAATTCCGTTAACATCCCGTCTATAAACAAGGCTGTCTTTTTTAATGGCTCTCCTACAGGATGTGATAATTATGTATTCTATAAAGCAGAGATTTGGGGAGAGATATATAATTCACATTAACATGATAATGTAAATGCCCTGTGGAAAACATAATACTTAGACTATATTTGAAAGGGGACTCTGGGATCATGCATATTGAAGTTTAACTAGATCCCTCCAGATTTTTGGTTTTGATCCTACACATTTAGAGACTAGTTTGGGATTTTAGACAGTTGGTGCTGACAATGTGAAATTCCCATTGCCTGCAGTTAAATTGAAGCTTTGGTTTCTCATGTGAACAGGCCGTGAAGCCGGGATTATACTTGAAGTCCTCATTTCAGAAATAGTTTCCCTCCACCCCTGAGCACTGCCACACATGGTCTCCCCACCTGGTTTCAGCTAGTGCATGAGTTTTCTCTTCTTTTTTACCGCTGGGCAAACCTTGCTGGAACAACAACCAACTTCTTAATGATTTGCACACTTGGAGGGCTTAACATCTTTTAAAAATCCACTGCAATAACAAGCTCAAAGGAACTCGGAGCCTTTTTAGAAGAAATCATGCTGAATTACACTGTGGCTTACTGCAATAATGTTTCTTTGATCAGGATGGGAAGGAAAATATTGGTTTAGTAGAAAACAATGTTAAATGTATTTGTAATGATACAATTGTTTATAAATATTTTACTATTAGGTTGAACCATAAGAAATTGCCAGTATAGGATTTCATCTGCAAAATGACAATTTCACCCGGTTTAACCTAAATTCAGCATTTTATACTCCAAGAACAAGCTCTTAATGGCAGCTTTCTACATGTGAAATGATGGAACTTTCTGTTTGCCAGAATGATCTTCACTTCTCTAATAGTTGGTGTCATATTGTTAGCCAAACCCTGATTAAAACACAAATATCAAACTATTGAGTTTTTAACTGCCTGGTGTTTAAAATACACTGTGGTGAACTTATAGTTAAATTAGCTCATTTATGTTCACACATTTTCTCATTTAGCACCAGAAACTTTCTTATAGCTCTTTTGCATGTACTCAGGAGTAAAAAGTATTGTATGGGGAGGGGAAATTCCCAAATGCTTTTTACATAAAACTGAGACAGTAACTGCAGGTAATAGCTTCCTTTGAGGAGCCACTTGAAAGGCAGGAAAGGCTGCCTTTTATTTTTTTGAGACTCTCGCTCTGCCACTGAAGTGCAGTGGCACAATCTCAGCTCACTGCAACCTCCACCTCCCGGGTTCAAGCGATTCTCCTGCTTCAACCTCCTGAGTAGCTGGGATTACAGGGGCATGCCACCACACCCAGCTAATTTTGTATTTTTAATAGAGACGGAGTTTCACCATGTTGGTCAGGCTGGTCTCGAAATAATTGACCTCGTGATCTGCCCGCCTCAGCCTCCCAAAGTACTGGGATTACAGGCATGAGCCACCACACCTGGCCAAAAGGCTGCCTTGAACTCCTTGACTTTAAGGGTCAGCAAGGACCCTACTCAGCCACCTCCACACCCCTCCAGCACTTGGTCCCAGATTCCCTAAGGTCTAAGGTCATCATGGCTTTGCTTAAATAAATACCGGTAGTCTTGGGGAGCTCATCATCTCTTAAGACAGCTCATTCCTTCTTTACTTCACTAAAGGTATTTCCTCTCACCTAGCTAAAAATTGTCTTCCTATAATTTCGGCCTCCCTCTTACTCACCTTGAAGTCAATTAGAGTACATGTCATTGTCTTCCAAGTAAAAGATCTTCAAATATTTTAAGACATGTGCCCCTTGAGATCCTTTCACAAGACAATTTCCATTCTCTTTTTTAAAATGTTTAATTTTTTTGATGCATAGAAAAATTTGGAACATAGTTTCGATTCTCTCCTCCAATGCGTCTCTCCTGGGATAGAAGGACTACCTCTTTTCAAACACTGTTTTCTCTATTATCTGCTGAAGTCATGTTTCCTCCCCAGTGTATTACACTTGAGATACAACATCTCTAGATCATGGAAACCACCTGCCTAAAATACAGGGGTGGTCCTATGATGATCTCAAGGTCCTGAACAGCACGGAAGTTTTTGTGCAACGGATCCAAACTCCATGAAATAAGTGTTGATGAATGTTTTCAGATGTACACAATGGAGAGGACATGGATTCAATTCACTGACCTAGTAGTTCCCAAACTTAGTTATTTGCATGCCACCATCACAATTTCTACCATTTCTTGGTACGACTTGTGCTATTATTACTTAGCAGTTTTCTTTGAATCAACTTCTTCCACTCGAATGATCTGTTTTAAAGGGAAACTGCATATCAGCATAAATGTTAAAACCATTGTCTTTTGTCATAAAAAGAAAACAAACTTTTAGTAAGTTCTAAATCTTTTAGTAGTTCACAAATCTTTTAGTAGCTCGTTCTGTTTAGACTTCAATCCATACTGTTTTGAAGAGCGTTATTTAAGGCCAAGTGTGGCGATTCATATCTGTAATCTCAGCACTTTGGGAGACCGAGGCAGGAGGATCACTTGTGGTCAGAAGTTCAAGACCAGCCTGGGCAACATAGCAAGACCCTGTCTCTATTTTTTAAATAATTTTTTAATAATTTAAATAATTTTTAAATAATTATTTAAATCATTTTAAAATAATTTAAATAATTTTTAAATATTATTTAAATTATTTTTAAATAATTTAAATCGTTTTTAAAAATTATTTAAATCATTTTTAAATAATTTTTAAAAATTGTATTTAAATTATTTTTTAAAATTATTTTAAAAATAGAGACAGGGTCTTGCTATGTTGCCAAAGATCCCACATGGTGGTCTGGATAAGACTCTTGGGAGAAGACAGCACTAATGGGAAGGTCTCTCTCCTGATACCTGAAGTTGCAGGAGGTTTGTCTGTTTAGAAACTATCCCTGGATCAACAGTGGCTTATAACTCAGGGCAAATTAGTGAAAGTTAATTCCTTAATCACCTGACAATAATAAAAGCCAACACTTGTTGAGCACTTACTATATGCTCATGTGTTTTTTGTACTTTTTATTTTCTAATCTCGGAAGTTAATATTAGAGTAGATCACTTTATCAATGAAATCTATATTTATGATCTTGGGCTTGAGTTGATCCATCAACTCTTACAAACCATTTTTCCTGGAGAGAGGAAAATTAGCCTTAGGCTGTTGTACAATATATTCAATGACATCAAGATTGAACATCTGTGCTAAGTATTTCATCACTGTGGATCAATAATTCAAAAGACTCAAGACAAAAGGATCCACTTGGAGATCAGTGTTCTTGCAAAGGGAGATACATGTGTAAAAACGATTCCTTTTCGAATCCCTCTCTCCTTCCCTCAAAGCTCTCCATGACACCAAAATGAAAAAGTGCACACACACAAACACACAGGCTTCAATAATTTGTAAGTCTACAATAATACAAAATACTGCGCTATATAGAGAACCACCCTGATGTCAGACGTACAGTATGTTATGTGTGCATTTTACCCCTGTGTGGTTTCCTGTCAATCTGTGAGCAGTGGGGAACCTTTTAAAAGACATTCCTGGTTGGGTGCCAAAAATTTCATGAAGTACCAAATCAGATGGATGTTATGCAGAATAACTCTCTGACCTTTAGCCACCTCTCCCTGATGTGTGCTGTGGATAGGTCTTCCTCCTCCTCAAAAAACATACCACGTATTCTGGGACAAAGCTTTAAAATACCCCTTTGAAGCCATCAAATGTCAATCACAGCGCAGGTGGCTGTGGTTGTGGTTCTCAGGTGGGTGGTTCTCAGACCGAGCATCAGAACCTCCTAGGGAAGCTG